ACAGATGAATTGTGCAAGGTTCTTGATTTCTTTTACATTTCTACTTCTCAACAATATTTTGTACTTTATTATATTAGGGAACTGTATGTATTTATTTGGGATAAAATTGAATCTGCAATCATAAACAGCTCCACATTTAAACAGGTAGTGGAATTCATCAGCTATAGCTGGCGACATACACACAGTTTACATGTCCTAAATTCTCCCTCTATGCCAAGCCGGCCTGACCTCATATCGCCTACACCTCATTTCGCCTACACCCTTATCTAAACAAAGTTAGGGTTGACTGCACTTCACGTTTCTACTGAATATAACACCTAAGTATGTGTAATTATCTACGATCCCAATTTCGGTATTTTCCAAATAAAAAGATAACCTACATGTTTTGGACGGCCGGCTTCCAAAGATAAGAACTTTAGTTTTTCTCAGGTTAACATCCAATTTCCAGATATTGCAATAGTCTTTAAAGGAATCTAATGTTTTCAGGAGTTCAGTTGCAGAATCAGCAAGTAGGACCGTGTCGTCCGCGTAGAGAAGGATTAAGAAACAGATACATAATTGCACATATAAATTGTTCGAATCGCCAATTCTAACAGCCGTGCATCCGTCTTTCAGTAGGAATGTTTCATGATCATTGATGAAGAGACAAAATAACAGAGGTGATAATTTTTCTCCTTGCCGCACGCCTGAATAACATGGAAAATACTGTGATACGGCGCCATTCATAGACACACATGACCTTATATTTGCATACATATTTTGGACTAACTGGAAGAATTTACCCTTAACACAACATTTTAGTACTTTATGCCATAAGCCGACTCTCCACACATTGTCGAAGGCTTTTGAGAAATCAATAAAAGCGCAATATAATTTTCTCTTACTTTGTTTAAGAATCTGAATAAGCATATCTAAGACAAAGATGTTATCAGTTGTAGAGTAATTCTTTCTAAATCCGGCTTGCGCTGAATTCAAAATATTATTTATCTCCAGGAAATCATTTAACCTTTTATTGAGAACAGTGGTGAAAAGTTTTCCAAAGCAGCCAAGTATTGTGATGGGTCTGTAAGCGTTAGGATCGGATCTGGTACCTTTGCCTTTGTAGATGGGGCGTACAGAACCAAAGAGCCATGCATCAGGTAATATTCCTGAGGATAATATTAAACTGAAATAATCGACAAATAGATTTCCAGAGACATCAACGAATCAATAAGATAGTCGTTCTCAATTCTGTCAGACCCTGAAGCTTTGTTACGTTTAAGACTCTTAATGGACTGTGCTATTTCATCCAAGGTTATTTCTCTGTTCAACACATTGTCATCATAATTAATCAGTTTCTTCGTCAGTTTCTTCGTTTACTTTCAGATCATCCACATGGTGTTGACCGTTTATATTCTTAAAATGTTCAAAGAAATCAGCGATATTGGGTGTTTCCGAATTTTGGTTTACATTACTTTTATTGAGAATCTTCCAGAATTCCTTAGGTGAATGTTTAGCTTTTTCTCTTATCATTGTGCTAAATTCAGTTTTGAACTTACTAATATGTTTATTGAGACACCTCTTATATTCCTTTGAACTTTGTTGATAATTACGTTTGTTGATTGTTGATTTATGTTTAAAGTATCGGCGTTTTGATTTGTAGAATTGTTTACGTTTATTTCTACACTCTGTCCCAAACCAGGTTTTACTATTTGGACTGTTTGTCGGGCCGCGAGGGATCGACAAATATTTCACTTAGGGATGAACACGTGCAACGCGGGAACTTCTGGCTCTGATCTTCTCGACCCCTTTGTTTTCCGCCCGAGTGACCCGCTTGTCATCTTCCGAGTCTGTGGCCAAATCACGGGAAACACATTGTCTCACAGTTTTCCCACCCTCCTTCCGAGGAATCTGCAATCTTTGATCAGCTTATTACGTTTCTCCAAACGCTTGATTTTATTTGCAAAAAATCTCATCTGAAAATCTCATCCCGTGTTATATGCCGACCTGAATCTGATTTACTTCAAGAGTTTCTTCATTAAATTTAAACTGAATCTTATACCATCTCTGTTCAAAGAATAATCTTTTTCTGCTTTCAACCTCTGCAATTCTTATAAAGGTTGCTCAAATTCGAGTCGAAAACCTTGCAAACGTTCATCAAACACAACTTTAGACTCGTCCAATCTTTCCAAAATCACATCTAACTTTTCGGATATGGTTCTCTCATCCATGCTGTGTGTACCGTAACCGAGACTGGTACATTCGCACTTCTACACCCCTTATATATGCCCCCTTTAAACGCCCCCTCCATACATTATCTCCCTTTGTTGTATCTTCCTACGTCAGGAGAAAGAAATTTCATTCTAATTCGCGCCTCAAACGAAATTATATACTCCTCACAAAAAGTTAAGCAACACAAATTTTGAGTCTCATCACATTTTCATTAACTGAAATTGCAAATCATGGAATGATGCAATAGAAAGGTGAAACATATGTACACACGATTAACAAAATGAAATGGTATTGATCAATAATAGACTTACAAATCATCAAAGCCGTGAAACAGTCGTGCAAAATGTGCTGTATTGATGGAGCAAAATGTTAACATTAAGGTTCAAGTCAGTTTTGGACAGTGAAGCAGTGTTCAGAAACGCGAATGACCACAGTGAGCACAAATGCATGCTTCTACACGTCTTTGCTTTGACCAAATGAGCCTTTAAAGTTGCTGTTGTGGAAGAACTGCCCTGGCAATGGAGAATATGAGGACATTGCGTGGAGTTCATTTGTCTCACGAAAGTCGCTATCTTGTACACGTTACGAACGGACGTTGATCTCGACTACCGGGGCCGTGAAGATGCGGGTTCAGTAACCCATGCTTGTCGTAAGAGGCGACTAACGGGATCGGGTTGTCAGGCTCGCTGACTTGGTTGGCATATGCCATTGTATCCCAATTGTGTAGGTCGATGTTCATGCTGTTGATCACTGGATTGTCTGGTCTGGACTCCATTATCTACAGACAGCCGCTATATAGCTGGAACATTGTTGAGTGCGGTGTTGAACAACAAACCAACAACTAAACTACCGGTCAAAAGAATGTTATCACTTTTTACGTAATTGTATAAGAAAACAGTACAGGTTTGAACTCAAACAGAAAACATTCGCCAAAACGCAGCATAGTCCCGATAACAACACAGTTGTCCGACAACCTAGTACGAAAACGCAGACTGACGACGTCAAAAAGGAGCCGTGTGCAGGGGCGGATACAGCTTTTGAGAAAAAAAAGGGTGTCACACTATTGAGAAAAGGAGGTGTGCACACTTAATTTTTACCCGAGTGTCAATTGTCATTTAACAAACTTTCAGCACAAAAGGGGTGCGCACCCTGTCCTGTGTCCGTATGCGTGTGTTTGTGTTTGAAGGTTACCCAGGGTGGTGTGATGACGAGTCTCGCACATTATGCATTTTATGAACTGATTTGTCAATTGTCTTTAACAAACTCTCAAGTCGGTAATAACTTTGGGTACTTTAGCTGAACGCAATGATGGTTGTATTTGACTGCAAGTTGTATTCGTTACAGTATCTGGGACAGCCTTCTCAGCTGGAGTGAGTTTAGTTTTACGCCGCACTCAGCAATATTCCAGCTATATGGTGCCGATCTGTAAACAATCGAATCTAGACCAGAGAATCCAGTAATCAACATCGATCTACGCAATCCTCAACTGGAAGTCCATGTAATCGAAAGCTCTCTGGTGCCTCTTGTGCCAACAGTCCCTTCAATAACCGTCCGTTATTAGTGAATGACAATGTTAGTTCTCCGAGTTCTCTGGCCAACATCTCTAATTTCAGAGGTGAGGTGAGGTCAAATTTGTTTTAACGTCGTGCTTGAGACTATTTCGCTCATATGACGACGTGCATGCGTGTATGTGTATGTGCGTCTGCTTGTACTAGCCCAGACTTAAGCTGGTTTTATAGTGCTAGCCCACTGAGATACCATACCGCAGTGAAGCATGAATACCCCACTCAGACACATTATACGGACTCTTTTGGTATGACGCGGTCGGGGATCGAACCCGCGACCTTCCGCTCTCCGGGCGGATGCTCTAACCACTACACCACGGAGGCGGTGCTATTTTGCAGACCCCTACTGAAATATTACTATGATTCGCAAGCAGCTTCCATATCTAACCCATCGGACATTTCTGGAACTGTCTTGAACACGAAGTTCCAGCTGGTGATCCCTCTGTTCAAAATCTGCAGAAATAGACGCAGGCAGAGGACTGGGATGCTGGAAAATTGGAGGCTTGATTTACAATATAAAGAGTGGCAGGTGTTATTCGGGGGCGGGTTGGTTCTTTGTTCTGCTACTGATGTGGTCGCCACAATCTATTTCACATTTGTGGTAAGATTGGTTGCAGCATTGTGAATATTCACTGTTTTGTATAATACTCTGTGTGCAAGTAAATCATTACTAAGTTTCTGTTTGTTGTTGCTTTAATCACAGCAAAATATGTTGATTATCAATTTAACAAGTGGAATTTGGTTTTCAAAACATACACGTTGTTTTGTACTTATGCTGTTGCTGCTTGATTAACAGAAATGTGTATACTTGCTGAAACTCTGACGTTTGTCAAAATCAAGATTGCGCCACAGTTTTAATCTGCGAATCAAACCAACGATCAGCTGATCTTGAAACAACTCATATATAACAAGTGTTTGCCACTGATATGGCAATGTCCCCTGCCGCTAAAGAATGGAATATCTATATTTACTACTTATTTTTGGGTCACATACAAGATGCCTGAAATGACTGGTGACTGCATAATCACCCAATGTAGGCTGTCAACATACTTGAAAACAAATTTCAAGACATTGGGTACAACATTTCATGAGATATCGCGTTAACAAGAATCGGGACGTACGGACGGACACCGCTGAATACATAGTCCCCGTTCCGGTGGGTATGCACATATGCCCACTGACACCTATGTCCCTCGAGTACCACACACAGAACAAACACATTACTATAGTTTTTACTGTACAAATTTAATGACATTACATGTTACAACAAAGTCAATGGACAATGAAATGTTTTTCATGATCAAGCAAGACAAATAAACTGTCAAGAGTAAAAGGATGGATGATGAACACTTAAAATGAGATGATGGCTAAAATGCTCTTCTGTGAAGATGGCTGTTCTAGCCTGCAAATGAGTAAACTGTTCTAGTATGGCTTGGGTCGTCGGTCACCCCTGTCTCCTCTGTCCATTCTGAAAATGAAACGGAATTACTTAAACTGTTTGGTTGCATGAGTACGGGCAAATTGAATAGATTATAAATCATAAACAAACATATTGTGCTTTAGATATTGTAATCTGAGACATTCCTTGACAATAAAATGTCACTGGTATCTATTACTGGAAAAAGCCTATGTCCATAAGCAGCCAGCCCCCTACTGGCAAGCTCTTAGTGGAAGGCAATAAGAATTATCTTCCACAAAAGATCTGAGACTCACTGTAGCACAGCTAAAAGAAAGAAAGATCTCCAATTTTAAGATGCCAAGGCAAACCATACTCAAGAGTGGTTATAAGTCATGGGTCACCCCATCAGTATTTCAGGGACATTTACCAATCCGGCTCGGTAATAAACTATTTCGTGGCTTTCAGTGCTTGTTTTGGGTGTACCAAACTAAAGTATTGACATGCTTCAGCAGGAAAACTGCTGACTGCAGCTTTAAACAATATTCACTCAACTGTTCCTTTGTTTTGACCAGACATGCAGTATGTAAACAATTTCCATCAATCATTCGTATGTAACATGTTCTATTTGGGATTACATCTGGCATTTGAACCCACACTCAAAATCAGGCTTGCAGTTTGGTGTCAGACTCTAGCGTTTGGGTTCGAATCATGGATGGGATTCAATTCTAATAAATTCACTAAAATTTCTATTTTACTGAGAAAGTATAATCCCAAATATAACATGTTATCTTTGACAACTTTCTAAATGGCAATGCACTCATGGTCATCCTTACCTTCCGTCCCGACCTCCTCGGCCCCTGTCAGGTCCACCACGCATTCCACCTCGGAATCCACCTCGTCCCCGGTCAGGTCCTCCTCCTCGGCCACCTCCAAATCCACCACCTCTTGGGCCTCCCCGGGGACCACCTCGTCCACCTGGACCGCCACGGCCAAAACCACCGCGACCACGTCCACGACCTGGAAAGTTATCAAGGAAATACTTAACACAGTTCCACATCCCTTTGGTTGATCTTTTTAGTAAATTCTCAAATAGACCTTACAAAAATAGATCAAATAGAAAATAGATTGTATGGTCAGGATATTTTACAAAGCAAAAGGTAATGTTAATTTGTTTTAACAAATTAAAAATGAAGGTGAGGTGAAATTGGGTTTTACGTCGTGCTTGAGAATATTTCGCTCATATGACGACGTGTCAAAATGAAACTAGTCAGGGATAAAACAATCAAGTTTCATTCACCTCATGGTTTTTTCCATAAATGACAAGTGGGGTGAAGTAAATGGGGTTTAACACTGTGCAAGCAATAGTTTTAACATGTATAAGATGAGACTCGGCAAACTGACATCAGCACATCGGTCCTTACTTTATCCCCAAAATGACGAGTGCTATACAGGAAACAAGTACCAGCTTTTGGTAAGATTTGGATGGGGATCAAACCCCATAACTAAAGCTCCCTGTGCAGGGGTCATGTCCACTAGACCATGTAATCTACTGCACAAGCTACACTACAGTTCCCACCTCTATCATCATCGTCGTCTCCACCCATGCCTTCAGGTTTGGGAGTGTTACACAAGTTGCAGTTGTGTCTCCAGCCAAAGTTGTTGTTGCCACAGTCACTGAAACAGACAGGATGACAAATTGTCAAGTCACATCGGAAAGGATATGTATTATAAAACAATCGCAACAGTTAAAACCGACCTTTTGTGTTGAAACAAGTGGCCTTGTACACCACTGACATAAGCAGATCATAATTATAATTTTAAAGCATGTCAGTAGCATTACCATTGTCCAGGCTAGCTATTCTAAAAACGTTCGTAGCCCTACGAACTTCGTAAGCCCATTCTTAACACATTGGCTACGATCAAAGTTAATTCTTAGGGGTACGAACGTTTTGAGAATAAGGGCCCTGGATCTTTAAAATTTTGACTGCTCAAAGAAGGATTTTCAGAATTCTCTGGCTGAACCCAAAACAAATACCTGTTGGGGCAGTCCCAGTCACCCTGTCGGCCGCCACCACCGCCTCCTCCTCCCATGCCACCACCTGAAACAATAAATACCATGTTAACTAAATTCAACAAATACACACTATTTCAGTGTCCATTCAAGCTGACGAAGAGTCCTTCAGTGGTAAAAGTGAGAGCCCCATACTACTTGGTGATTCTTACATTGCTCACATGTGTGCACAAAGCATCTTTAAGGATGTCCATGTAATAAGGTATATTGAGGTACATTTTTATCAGAAACTGAAGCATTGTATTTGGAGAATCAGTTTTGCCTTCTAATTACACGTGGTCAATAAAGTCAGCCAATTACTTCCTGAAAGTGTAAGTAGATCTACTTTGCATTGACAGTTACTTGTCAAACTGCTACACACTGCTTTGGATATGTCTAGAATTCCACACTGAACTTTCTGAAATGATCAGTAACAGTCCCTTACCTCGGGGTCCTCCACGGCCACCTCCACCACGACCACCACCACCACCGCCGCCGCCACCTGCAAACACATTGGCAAAATGGTAAACTTGGTGAAGTCAAAGAATATTTTGATAACGCTTACAATATACATCTACTAAAAGATACCGGGCTGAAATTTATTTTTTGTGTAACAATCAGAAATACCCCGGCGTTTTGATGGTTCCCTCGAAGTAGCACCCTTGGGCGGATATAACAGTTTAACGTCTTACTTAAGAATATTTCGCTCATATGACGATGTGCATGTGTGTCTGCCACAGTTAAGCATGAATACCCGTCACAGACACATTATACTGATTGTCGAGCCTACCAGCCTTTTATTAACCCATTAATGACGAGCAGGCAGGGAACAACAAGTACCATATTTTAATGTCTTTTGGTATGACATGGCCGGGGACCGAACCCACGACCTTCTGCTCTCAGGGCGGACGCTCTGACCATGGAGGCAGTGCATATGACAGTGATCGATGCTGTAAGTGCTGTCATGGTATGACAATGACGATACAATCAGCCCAGCTAGCAAATGACCACAAGATCACTTTGGTCACTTGTGACCATCTTATCTGAAATCCGGAGTTTCATTGATATAAAATTAGAAATGTATTTTTAAGTGTAATTGGGACACTTCATGCTATCAGACACACTAGTGACTCAAATCTAATTTACAATGGTACAGGGCATACAAATAAAGATGTAATACCTCGTCCTCCACGACCAAAGTTTCCAACTGGTCTCTGGGCTAACTCAACACTGATGGTCTTCCCGTTGAAATCTTTCTCTGAAATAGTATTGCAGAAACTTTAGTATTACTCATAGTATACACTAAAACACGTGTAGTGTGTCGACTTCAACTCAAAGTCAGAAGGGGTGTTTTTCATTTCTGAACACTGACTAAGTTCCGTCCTAAGATATTGAATTTGACGATAAATACCCTGAAAAATATATTTTGATTTTTGTGGCTACAAAAATAATCAAATATACAAATACAAATTTAAGTTCTGATCGCATAGAAAATCAATAACAGCTCCATATACAGCTACAACATGTTTCATAGTTCATCAGAATCTCGGAGAAAGGGTTTGAGAATGTATTATACTAGCTAGTAACATCTTGTCCACACAGCTGCATAATGGATTCTGTTGCTGGGAAACTTGTGGTTCATTGCAAGGGCGACTTACTCTTAACACCTGATTCAGGTTCACATGAAAAGGACCTATTCTGGCTCAAGAGCTGTATTAGAGCTGTAACAACATGGTGGTGTCACAATATGCATCTTGATATCCTAATACAGTAGCCTTATTTCAGAAGTTGAGAACAGTAAATGAAACCCTTATGTTTTGAAACTGCAGGACCCAAAGGGCATATAAAAGGCAGACACACAGGATAGATGAAATTTATGGTATTTAAGCCAAGCAGTAAATATTATAGTATCTGCAGAAGCTGTTTGCTGAATAGTTCCCATCATTATTAATGTGTTTTTACACAAGTATAACTTGTAATGTATCATGGCACTAGTATCATGACACTATCTACTGCCATGCTGTTACAGCTCTAGGTAGTATGATAGGCAGTGCTGTGCAGAGCTCCAGATAAGATTTAGCTCATGTGGGGGCTGTTACCACTGTATTTTTTTGGAGTGGGTATTATGAATGTTGAGTGGGTGTTTCATTTTCCGTTACCCACTACTTTCAAATATGTGCTTATTTCAGTCATTTTACTCACCTAAGTATATGCCATTGAGTAAGTTTACTAAGCAGGTATGTTCTGCCTTATGTCATACCTAATCAAAACAAACTTAAATATAATGGAAATGATTTCATAAAAAATAACTCATCCTATACTGACAGTACAACACTTGTCCTATACTAACAGTACAACTTGATAGCAATCGATGTCTTTTTTCATTACGCATTTGTTTCAAACTTTCTGCGTATCTAACATTTTAAATGCGTAATTGGTACGCAACAATTATTTTTCAATGCGTAATTCTATGCGTATTTTACCTGGATATGCAGCTTATATGGGCCTCTGCTGTGATTGTTCAATACTTACTGTCAAACCAGTCAATGGCTGCCTTTGCTGTAGAAGGATCGTCAAATGTTACAGTGGCCTCTCCTTTCGGTTTGCCAGACACTTTATCTTTGTAGATCCATACTTTAGGCTTTCCTGTTCTCTTGTCAGTCTGTAGAGAACAATTAGCATTCAATAACTCAGGTTGTCTCTTGAGATAGATGCTGAAAATTGGGTAAACCTGATAATGGTGTACGTTCATGCATTGTAAATCTTGTTTGCCAAGGATTTGGGTGGGATCTCAACCCAAAGAGGATTACCTCTTTAAACAGATTTGTTTTTCAGAAGTAATAAGCTTGAAGATGTTCATTATCAACTTGGTGCATACCTTGATTACACCAATGCTGCCGAAGTGTTGAACCAAGGCTTCCTCGACCACATCTTCTCCCATGCCAGACACGAAGATTGTATCGTGTTGTGTCTCCATCTCACGGTCTGAAGGAAAACAACATATTTCAACAAAATTCACACAGAATGACATGGTAATGTGCAATAAGACCGTTGACTCAAAAGCTGTCAACGAAAAATACCTGAAGAGTAGTTTGATTGCAACAGTTACAGCTTGCTTGTCTACTTTCTACCCTGAATTATACATCTTCACTTAATACTACCAAAGTACAAATCTGGCCTGCTACTGTAACCCCACTTAGATTTCCCCTATCCAGCAAGGTATATGTTTGATGACCACTACTTGTATTATCTTTACACTAGAATATCAGAGAAAGAAACAAGTTCCATCTTTCAACATGGCATGGGTTGCTGAAGACAAATTATCAGGGCTGGAAATAACTTTAAAATTGCTAGTGTACTCCGGTACAGTGGCACATGTAAAATCACTTGCCCTGATAATTTTTCCACTATACTGGCCGTTTTCTTGTTGATTTTTTAAATAAACAACATAATTAACATTGGAATATCAACTGGACACCGGTACAGTGTGATATACAAATTTGCTTGCCCGACAGAAAAAACACTAGACTCGGGCGTCGGGCAATGGGTTATTTCCACCCCTGATTATAACCCAGATTTTCATAGGTAGAATGTACTGTTGGAATTGTTTAGAATCTCACAAATGATGATTGGTTCATTACAACTAATCAATCATTGAAAATAATTGGTTAGCATCATTTATCAAATTCTCCTGGTTATGTTTGTTAATCCACAAAAAATATAGAATAAACGTGTAGTTCTTTCAGGTATTTTGCAAACTGCACAAAATGCATTTACAAATTTCACATCTTCAAGGATGACTAGTATGCTAGAAACAAATTTCCTGGAGTCTTTGATAACTTCAATCATGACAAGGAATGAGCTAGTAGTGCTTGTGAAATGTCAGACAAAACCAACCTCGTAAAAAATCTTGTTAATGCAAACCAGTGTTCTGAAAATTGTTTGAGTTTGATTGAGAAAACATGGTCGATTGCTTGGTCATTTAGTCCAAACTTTGATTATTTCAATCATTCGGACCACCACGAGTAGAATGATGTCACTATAGGTTTATAGTCTGCCAAATTCTGAATGCTCACCAGATCCATATCTGCCACCACCACCGCCGCCGCCTCCACCTGCAGAGAAACAGAAGAAACATGGATGAGGACTCTGATGAAAACAGTACATTGCATCAACTAACATAACCAGATACACAAGCACAGTGAAAATAATGGTAACCCCTCTGGATGCAATATCCACCATATCTAAACCTCATTGTTCAACCACACATTTCTAAACATCACACATGTAGCTTTCCTTTCAGCTACTGTAACCATGGCAACCCAATACCCACAATCCCTTCAACTTCCCATGTTTACCTCTAGTTAAGGTCACACCCTTTTTCATAAAGAAACACTCAACTAGGCCAGCATATACAAGCTGATTCTAGCTGGGACATACTATTCTGCCCACACGAATGTTACACCGACCACAGAAACGTGGTACAAGCAGAGGCAAATACAAGGCAATGCACAATGTAGGGAAAGAACAGCAAAAAAAGGATGAAACTTATTAACCAGGTCCCCGTTCCAGAAAGCGTTCCTTAGCTATGTTTGTCACAAGTTACAGTATGATTGTCTTGGTGAAAAGAACGCTTTGAGGAGCGGGTCCCCGAACTGGAATGCTGGACTTCCTTGAGATGCCTTTGTTGTTAACCTGCATGTCCACTATAGTTTGCACCACACAGCAAGGTGAACATGTGAATCTTGCGACATCAGTAAACTACCTTGCTTTGTTTTGTCTCAGGTGTTCAGGTATTAATGTACTGACTCTTGCTTGGCAATTACTGTCACACAAGTTGTAGAACACAATTTGTTTCGTAAAACAAGACCACATTGGACATGACAAAACATTTGTTGCCGATGAACACATTCAGTTCAGCATCTATAGAGCTTCACCGGTGGGCCTATTATTTTCAGCTCTTTACCAGTTTACTTCAGCAGTTTGCTGTTCCAACCAATTGAAATAGGATGCACATTTTACATCGACCTCTTCAGTGTCAAGACCCACTTCATTCTTGTTTAAGCACACTCACACACTGCTGATCTCAAACCTCTCATAGGTCAAACATTGCATATTCAACAATTTTAGCATTTCTTTGTCATAAGCTGTCTGTCTAACCACAGAGGATACACATATCCTTGTATCCAACCATTAGAGTACAAATACAGCAACTGTACACATCATTACTATCTTCAGCAGGACTGGCTGTTTGAGACAATGAAAGTGGCATGTCTTTACAACACTTAGTTGTTTACCCTCATGCCTTGGTTCTAACTATGTGGTCACTCACAGAAACTTTTTTCCTACATTCTGTTCAAACATAAAAGATGTGGACACCAGGAATAAAACCTAAGGACTTAAAACACTATTGACAATCATGTTTTGATTAGACCCTGGTTATATACACCAATTTGAATGGAGTTGAACATTTATATCATTCTTGTTTCTAATCATTTCTTGTGTCCTCATTCTCATAGCTGTCTTGGAAAGAAGGCCCACAAATCAAGCAGCACACAGAAGATTTATCCAACGTTCACGTGTCAAGTTTGGAAGGATGCCTTGGATGAATGCACATGTTCCTGGTTGTACAATCTGGTGATTACATATGCACGCTATGAGAATGGTAGTCATGTGTCCGATATTCAAATCTGCAACAACAGTCTTCTTCCAAAATGTTACATCACAAAAAAAACAGTTTGTCCTGCAGCCAAACAAATCTGAATCACTACTTGGTGCCTTCTTTGCATCAGCATCTGATGCTCCTGGTCTGCTCCGACACTTCCTGCAACTGCTTCTCCTCAAATGATCTGGACCCTTGGTTCCTCCACAAATACCTTCTGTATTTTGAGGTAACATTCAGAATATGTTTCCTCTTTGTTAGAATGGTTTAACACAAGAGCATAGCAGTATACACTCTTTGATAACTCAGAATAAACAAAACAAGAAACACAAAAACATACAACAGGCAAGGTGGTTGAGTGTAACGCAAGGTGTCTCTTCCCACTACAGATTACTAGACAATAGAAAGTTGTGTGCCCAAAGCTGAGACAGCCCGGTCCTGGACTTACCACTACTATAACCACCTTTGTTGAACCCTCCTCGACTGCCGCCGCTGTGAACATTCATAGGTCAGACATTGTTAGACGGCACCTTCGGCAGCGTATCGATGCAGCATCGACAGTTATCAACCATCAAAGTAGGGTATAACCTTCAGATTTTTCTTAAGCATTTTTGTAACACCCAGTGGACAATTGCCACAAATACCACTGCTCTAAAGCAGTTTGTAGTTTTTTTAAGTGTTGTTTTAACCCCCTACCTAGCTGTGGCTCTGATATGTCACTGTACAAAAACCCACACACAATTGTGGATCAACATGGAAACCTTTTTTTAAAATTGAACATTGTTTGAACCAGTTCACGCCTAATTCGTTTTAACTGCTGGTACACACCAAGAACCTGTCTCCACGGAGACCACAATTAGATGGAAATAGTTAACTACGAGACCTCAGAAGGCTTATAAAGTTCTGTGCTCACCATGACATTACAAGATTAACTATAGGTCTTAACTATAAGATGAATGTACTTGGACATTTAACAGTTTACAAGTAGGAATTTCTCCCCAAATCTCCATTCTACGTGAATGTGATCTGGTGATGATATCTCATGTGCAGATGGACCAGCACTGGGTCATACAGGGTCTGCATGGATTATCAATCAACCATCAGTACAAACCAGCAATCCAGTTTTTAAAGCCATTGAGTATTTACTCAGATGCTATCATTCACACTGGGTATTAAAAGCTTTCCTATACTCAATAGTTGATAACAACTGTTTTTTTGTAAACTGATAAAATTTGTATGATTTTACAATAAGCAAGCTGTTGTACATCGGTGCATTATTCCTTGCATTAGGGCTCATGAATATATGGTGTACATCCAGTCAAAACAAACTCTGTAAAGATGTGCACATATACTAAACATGCTACACTGGGCAATTATGTGCTGTATTAAAGCATTTGGTTGTCCAGTATCCTAGAACTAATTCGGGTTTTGGTGATTTACCTAGAGTATTTTAAGCAGATATGAAACTGATCTCCGATGTTAACTCCTATCCAGCCACTCATGGAGCTGGGAATACACAGCCCCACCACATCGCACTAGTTGAGCTTTACACAAAACAGCAATCAACTAGATTTTTTCAGTAAACTTGACAGATGCCTCTAAATGGACCAGGCAAACCAGTGACCGACTTATTCAAGGTCTCAGATTGATTGGTTATGATAGGCAGTAAACAAAGTAATAGAGAGTGAATATGGTTTTATGGCTCTCTTGGCAACATTCCATCAATACCCATGTAGAGAATCAAACCTAGGTTTTTGTCGTAACCACTAAGTTACCAATCTGCCCGCCCCCTAAAGTCATTGAGCAAGGTAAGATGATACTGCACAGGACCTAATCCTATCAGCATTTATTACAACGTACAAACTGTCGAAAGCACACTATATCTAAACCAGTTGAATGTTCTTTTGATATTTTGTGGATGGAGCTTTCAAACAGTTTACAGATGGCTACTTTGGGCATTATCACAGAAGCAAGTCTTACATTTTGCAGACTGAGCTCAACTTGTTTCAAAATATCAACATGAAAGACTTCATCTTCCACATTCTAACACTCACATTTTTCTTGAAAAGATGATCAAGATGATATAGAAAGAAATCCTTTGTCGTATCAAACTTGAATAAATCAGGAGGCAAGGGAAATAACTCATAGTACCATGGACATTTGGAAGTTGACAGTTATTTCCAGGGGCACTTTTGCTCAACATTACCTTGGTTTAAGCGAAGAGTTTGTGAAGTATTTGCAAGAAAAGCAAAAGAACATGACACAAACATGTTCCATTCATGATCGATCAATATGTGAAAGATATTGTTTCATCCAAAATACTCAGCAAAGATGGGTTACAGCAACTACTGGGTTTTCACACTTATGTAGGAAATATTCAAGTCATATCAAGGGCAAGAAGAACAAGGTTGGGGGAGTTGCCTCAAGAACAATTCCATCGGCTACTTCAAAACTCACACCTTAAACTCTTTGCATTAATGTATAGACCACCATATAGATATACTTCTAATACACAATATCTAGGTGATCTCTAGAACCATCAAACACAACCTGTACAAGACAATCAGAGCCACAGTTACCAGAGTTTTAGGTTTATTTTTTGTTTGCATATTCAACCCTTCGAACTTTTAAAGATAACTCACTGGACAGGTGAAGTTTTATAGTTTGTTAGTTTTAGGTTTATTGTTTGTTTTTACACCAATTTCCCATTGGAAAATTGTTTCATAAAACCTTTTTCACATTCTTTCTTCAAAATACCTGTTTTCACATGGATCAACATTTTCATAAATTATGATTAGTATTTATAAGTAAAAAAATCACATTTAGAAGCATTTGATTGACAAGCATAAAAAAATATTCTATGGACCATTTGAAAACCAATCTAATCTACCTCAGGGATAATCACTTGCAATTGCTCAAAGCAATTCATCCCACATTAGGTGACAATCCTTTCGGATAATATTACCATGAAGTAGTAGTACCATTAATAATTCAGGATATCAAAAAATGGCTACAAGTGTTTACTTTGTTTGGTCCAACTGTTCACCATACACCTGTTGACTGAAGACCAATGAACCAATTCACACAAACAATGCACTCCATTCAATTCCAACCATTTGTTTGTTGCTTAATATCACACTCAGCAATGTTCAAGCTATATGATGGTGGTCTGTAAATTATCAAAACCTGGCCGAGATAATCCAGTGTTTGACTTTATGAGCATCCATCTACCCAACTGGTATGAGTCGTCCATGCCCATGAACTTGACCATCTCATAGTCACCCAGATCTTCACTTTCAATTCCAGCAAAAGCACCTTTACTTAGAATTGAATATCTTTTGTTATGTAGACAGTAAAAATTCGTATTTATCTGGACAATAAAAATTTCAGTTCTTTATTCTCAGAAATGTTATCTTCTATTTATTTATACCCTTGGCATGAAACCGGTGCCAAACATTCCATACTCACAATTATTGAACTGTTTACTGAAACAATTCTCCATACTCTCCTGAACATTTGAGTTGTTTCTGTACATTTTTCTACTGTTCTCATCTTGCAGAAAACATTGGACGTTTTGTATACATGGCAAAAAATAGAGGCTGTACATACACATAAGTTAATACTCTAAACTAAACAGTTTTTATGTTGTTATTGTAGTCAACAGAGAACCAAGTCTAAATTGGACAAACCCAGTGATTGAAGTCATGAGCATCAATCAATACAAGTTGGGTATGAAATACATCAACCAAGCCAGCGAGTCTGACCACTTGATACCCCCTCAGGTGCTTCTGACCAATTCTAACCTGGCTCCTCACATGGGCCTTGTAGCTTGCGAAATACATTCTTTGGTCACACAGAATGAAGCACTTGAAATACTTAAGGTATTCAGTTAAGCAGGCCAAGCTCATAATTTTAGCCTTTGTCATGAATATTTTGTACAGGTTCAATTTATATTTTGGTTATTTACGTGCATTTTCAAAATCTGAAATATTCTTTTGCTTGAACACTCTGGCTAAACCTTTAGCAATTACATTAAGTTTTTTCCAGATCATATTTTTACACCGTTCTGTACATTCTTCTGCTAAAATGTTTGGTTTAATACTGAACATCTTTTCTTTGATTGGCAGATTGATGTGGAGCGAAATCGCAGAGGTTCTAGGTCATTACAAGACCTTTAGCACCTCTTTGAAACCTAGGCTCATGACATCCTCAAGACATGGATTAAACTCAGCCCTTGGCTTCTGTCATTCCCAGGAAGCATTCTACCCACCAGATTTTAAGCACTGTGACAACAGTGTCACTACTTATAGAACAGCTGCATAAATACAATAAACAAATTTTCAAAAAGCATGAGATGTCCCGACTAAAAAACAGTAAACGCTTGACACTGTCCTTGAACTGCTCAATAACCAAATTGAAACATCCATTCCCAAATTTGTCACAAGTTGAAATGGTTATTATGTTACCTAAGTTTATTTAATGTTCTTAAAACAATTATTTTTTATTACACCTTTGTGTTCATGAAACCAATACATTTCACAACCAGCCTCCTAATATAGCACACATGCATATTTTAACTGAACCAATATTTGTTCATGTTTAATTACCTAAATGTCTCCAGCTGCCATTTGACAGTGGAAGTCTTTGTTTTAGTTTAGTTTTGGTTTGTTTAATACCGTCTGTCCAGTGAGCACCATCAAAAGTACACCAGTAAATTATCACCAAATGATTCACACTTTGATGTTAACAATCCTGCTAGAAACATTAAGAGAAACACAGAATCAAATCATAACCATTGTAACATTCAAGTCATGCGTTTCATTGGATGATGTGAACCATTACTATTAAATACATGCCAACAAACCACTTTTCAAATGTTTTACTTTAACTTGTGTGTAGATAGGTAGTTAAATCTTGTTTTCTGCAGTTGCAGTTGCCCTTTACACTTCAAGAAATGGTATGCCATCTCCGTACAAACCACAAGGCAGCACCTCACAAACTGATGAGGAGAAAACAAGGACTTGCAGGACTGCTTAGATAATAATTACTCATTTTAACATAGGACATTAACCAATAGTCTCATTTACTCATGAACTAACAACCAACACTTAAATAATGACATAATGGTTCTTTCATGATTTACAAGTTTGGGTTGAAAATATTTCAGACATTTGGAATAGCAACGATTCAGTGTACGGAATATGAAACATTTTGAAACACTCCGCCATCTCTTTTTGGTTCTACTTTCTAATCATTCAACAGTAAAAAAATAATTAAAAAAATTCCAGATCAAGAAACAATTACCACTAGTTATGAAGTTCAAACCAAAATTCGTAAAAGATTAAGATAATTATTCTCCTTCTGTGTTGCACCCTGAAAGGTTAAGGCAATCCTGCAAATCCTATGAATCATACAATAAAAAGGACAAGTTTCTTACCCATAGCCTCCACCTCCTCGGCTACCACCATCTCTTCCTCCAGAACCTGAAGCATAAACACACAAGCATTATACAGCTGGCTGTTGTCGCCAAACAACCTACTGACAATGAGTTACTGTGGTATTATTCTGAGTTTGTGTTTCACTGATGGGTGGTGCCATTTTGGTTTGTCAAAAACTTGAAGTGAAGTGTGGGACATTTCATGTGCATGTTATAACCTACTGTCAGTCATATTTGGTGACATACATTTTCCTTAATGAAACAGATATGTTTCATACTTGTTCAACACTGTGGTACTCTGCAGAACAGTTCTTTAAAATTCCAGGTTAATTTCAGATGAGCTCATTTGTCATGTGCTGTAACAGTCAGCAAGCCTCAATTTGGAATCAAGACATTTAGTTACATTAAAAATGTTTATATAACTTAAAACTTGTCTTAGCAAGCAAGATAATATAAAACATATATGGATGACAACAATGAATATGAAGTTCAACAAATAACTAAGAAATTGTGGGTATGATCTCGATGGATCACAGCATGCAAAAAGCCAAAGATCTCCCTGTCCAGTTCATATATCCCACACACAGACTATCAAATACAGAACTGTCTTAACACCAAGCCAAATCAGCTGGGTAGATTAATCAAAGTTAAAATGGCAAAATGATGAGTATTGTAGAGGTAAATTAGTAATCACTGAACACCGGGCATGAAATGTCACCTTTTGATGAACACCTTTATATTAAACCTTTGGGACCAAAAAATGTTTACAAAAGCAAAAGACATTCATGTCATCTCCATGTTTGCTTTTCAAATGACCTTAAAGGTACAACAATCGGTTCAAAGTTACTCAAATGGTGATTGAGTAATCTGATTGACAAACATTCGTTTTTCTCTGACAGTCCTGTATTTGAACACTAGACACTACATTTACAGCAGTTATAGTCCCATGTAACCCCTCCCCTCCCAAAACTGACCTTCCCATCAACAAACAAGTCTACTACACCACTATTAAATTACCTTGGTAACCACCTCCCTCTCGGCCCCCTCTTCCGGATCCATAACCTCCTTGCTGCTGGTACCCAGACTCGTTGCCATAACCACCTCCAGGTTGGCCCCCGTAACCCCCGGACGACTGGCCCCCGTAACCCCCAGATTGCTGGCCCCCGTAACCCCCTGACGAAGGACCACCCCCCTAGCCCCCGGAAGACGGCTGACCTCCGTATCCCCCAGATGACTGGTCGCCGTATCCAGACTGGCTGCCATAGCCACCACCACCGCCACCACTGGATGACGACTGGCTTCCGTAGCCCCCTCCTGATGAGCCACCATATCCTCCAGATGGCTGCGTGCTATAGCTCTGCTGACCACTACTATAGCCACCACTGGACGGTTGGTAGCTTGATGAACCAGACTGACCACCCTGGCTATAACCTGAAATCACAACATTTGGTTATGCAACAAACAGCTTCCCACAGGAACTACTGAAACTTCTAAGAGTGCTTGTCATCAAGGTTAATAAAAAAAAATCAGGGCTTTTAGTTACATTTAGTATGGCAACATAAAACCCAGCATACTATACAGTGTTTTATCAGCCCTCAGACCTAAAAAGTAGTATGAACATCACACCAAACATTACCTGATTGCCAGGAACTGAAACTCCTGCATTATCAAGAATGTCATTTCCTACAAATCAGGATTTTAAGCTAATTTAAAGATGTTAGTAATAAGTTGACACTTACAATCAAGGCTTTTCTAGAAAAACACAGAATTGAAGAATTTCAAGTTTGCTATTTTATGTTGTTGTCAGCAACGCTTCATTAGTAAACAGAGTTGGGTCTAACAAACTATTTTTCATATGTGTACTGTACCATGCTGTCAGATGACAACATCCAATCAACCAAGTAGAAGCTATTACAGTGTCTCTTACAAGATCTGTGTCAACCATAGCATGGGAAGGCTCAACGAAGTCAGATGGGTTACACACCACTTTTGAACAATATTTTAGGAATTTCATACCTTGGCTCAATGTTGGAGGAATATGGAAGTAAAGCATGACTTAACACATTTAACACATTTGAAAAGTAGCCCTACCCGACTGTGAATACGATGATGGTGCCTGTGAAGTCTGCTGGCCGTACCCAGAGCTTTCAGTTGACTGACCATAGCTGCTCTGACTGTATTGACCATAACTTCCACTTGGACTTGTGGGTTGTGCTTAGAAAAACAATCATTAGTACATCGTTAACAGACCAAAAATATGCATACAAACATTTTCCGAAGATACTATTATTTTAAGGCAAACAAAACAACTGTGGATAAACTGATGCTGAACCAGAGTAATAAACTATTGAAAAGATTAAATTATATACTCGCACAAATGGCTTAAACTCATTTTTTAGTTTCAGAAAATGAAGAAAATGCAATTGTGGTTGAAAATCAAATTTGATGATGGTTCTAATGCAAAGTGTGCACTCTAGTTTTATGTGAATCATACTCTCATAACATTGAGGACAATTCAGAAAGTAATAAATTACACATTCACAGATGGCTTATTTATTTTATAACCAATGGCAACAACACCAAGTCCACCAAGTTCAGAGCACTAACACAAGACCTATCCTATCAGGACACAGAACTCTGTATGAGACATGTCCTAGGGCTGGCTAAAAAGATTGATAGTCAGAAATATTGTCGAACATTATCAAAGATTATTGATATGAAAATAGTGTGATCAATAATTTCTCATAGAAACTTTTGTGACAGAATAAAGTTTTAATTTACTCACAATTGAAAGATAGTTTTTTCAATCACAGACTGCTTCTAAATTTTGTTCAGGACCATGGCTCATTAGCAACCCATGCATATAAACATGTCACTGCTCACCAGTGGTGTGAAACATTCATTTCTTTCAGATTTTTTGGCTTTTAAGTTTAAAGTTACTTCTGATATTGATTGATTATTGATCGTTATTTAGTTATGATTATCAATCTGTATGATCTACATTAATAGCCAGACCTAAGAAGCCCTGATTTTAGTGAGCGAGTGAGTCCAGAAATGGGCTTCACACATGGGAATTTAACCCGGGTCATCAGTGTTCTATGCGAAAGCTTTAACCACTAGGTTACCAAACTGCCCTAATTGTTTTTGGATTTGTTTATGGAAACAAAAGCCAATTTTTTGTGGACAGTTAAATATTCACATCCCATGGAATTGCCTGCTATATATTTGTGATATACACATTGTTTTTAATGTCTGAGACTAAGTACCTGACTGCTGTCCATATGCAGCTTGTCCGTAACCGGCCTGTCCATATCCAGATTGTGTCTGTTGTCCATATCCGGTCTGGGGGGGTGGTGGTTTGTGCAGGGGCTGCCGATTGGGAGTAGGACTGATCGTACCCACTGTAACTCTGTTGGCCGTAGCTAGCCTGTAACAAAAGAAGATTGAGTTGAGATGAAATAGGGTTTAACGGTGCATGTAAGAAAATTTCGCTCATATGACAACGTGCATGCATGTGTATGTGTGGCTGCTTGTACTAGCCAAGACTTAAGCTGGTTTTATAGTGCTAGCCCACTGAGATACCATGCCGCAGTAAGCATGAATACCCCACTCGGACACATTATACTGATTCCGAGCCGACCAGTCCTTGCTGTACCCATCAATGCTGAGTGCCAGGTAGGGACCAACAAGTACCATATTTTAGTCTTTTTGTATGATGCGACCAGGGATCAAACCCGTGACCGTACGCTCTCCGGGCGGATGCTCTAACCACTACACCACTTAGGTTGTCAGATTGAGTTGAATGAAGACATAGCATGTAGTTTTGATTGTAACACAAAGCATTGGGATGTTTACAAGGTCAAATGAACTTTTGATGGAACATCCTGCCATATCCAGGAATGCGAATACTGTAAACGTACTTATTTTCGCGTGGTGCAATTTTCGTGGAATTGACAGTTTAGACTACATCGCTGGTCAATTATTCGCTCAATCAGTAATTGCCGGAACTGCCAGCTGTCTCTTTGACCGCCACTAATAGCAGTGAAAACAAACAGAGTGGCTTAACCTGTCAGGCGGCGTTTATTGCTTACTCACAGGAAATCCCTATCTGTGCGATATATGCTAGTACACAGTAATCCGTTTACTCACGGAAGAGATGAAAAACACATCAGTCTTATGTTCCGAATTCTGACGATCTGACGAATTAACTTCTACTGTATATGAAGCTCCTTGTGATTTCAAACAAGCCGGGTTGTTGTGAATGAGATGAGTGTTAAGTGACTATTCGCTTCATGATGTACTGGTAAATAAAATCTTAATGAATAAATAAAATACTGCTGTATTATTTCTTTCCGAGTCGTTTCATGGTATTCTGTTTTGTATCAAACCATCTGTCATGTGACCAATTTCCATGGCGGCCACAACACACATTGCTGTTTTCGCTAATTCAGCGATGGGATTTGGCTCATTATTTAATTATGTTTTGGGAAATCCATTACAGCGACAGTTAAGTATGATTCTTTATGCTACTATCAGTCGTCATTTTAAGATTCCCGTAGATTTCTGTCTTCAAACTTGATGTGTTATGGTAACAACTCAGGGGCGAGCGTGGCTAGACTGAATGAATGACAGGTTTATTCGCGGTGTATAAATTTTCGCGCTAAAATGTTTTGTGTGAAAAGCGCGAAAATAAAACCTGCTCGAAATATAATACGTTTACAGTAAGTCAGTTAAATTTTACGTCACAAGGGCAATATCTCAGGAATAACACAACAAGAAATAGAACATAAAGAATGGATATAGTATGAATAAGAGGCCTTGGACTGTACAGTATAATAACTAGAATATCACAGATGCAACTTAAAACTGAATGCAGTTAAAATAACATTATTAAAGAAATTGTCAATACAATTTTCAACCTAATGATTGTACTAGAGATGATACGATTCGCTCACATATTTGGTTAATATAACTATCCCTTCAAGAATTTAATTCATTATTTGACATCAGTAGAAAGTTTATGATTTTCAACAAGTGTTTTCACATTAATTTGGGTGCAATTTATCAAAGCGAGAATTTTACAGAAGAATACATCCAAGCAAGACGGGATGATAGTCAACACGCTTGTGTAAAATTGACAGAAATGCTACCACTGGTTACCGTCATGGTACTAACAGCAGTACACCGCACCATATAAAGTCTGTACCATTACTAAATTGAATGAAAACTTGGGCGCAATTTGAAATCATTAAAACCCTAAAAGGGGTTTGGAAAGTTAAATTATGATGCATTGACAACAGGTTTAATTCAATAACGTGGGCTTGATATATGATATACATGAAGCACTAACACATTGAAAAATGACCAAAAACTGTTCAACATTCATCCTGTCAAACAGATGGAAAACCATGATCACATTTGGAAGGGATCTAACATACCTGCTGTCCATATGCACTTGTTTCTGAAGAACTGCCATAGGCTGCATACCTAGAAAGTAGTAGATGAGTAAGCATGACAAGCCACCACATAACATTAACGAATAAGATGCCAACCTCCATTTGGTTGGCCATAAGTCTAATGCTACATTCAGCAATATTCCAGCGATATGGCGGTATTCTGTAAATAATCAAGCCTGGACCAGACAATCCAGTATGAGTACCAACCAAAGCACAAGTATTTAACTAGATGTGATCATAGAATGAAGCTTGGTTTGCAAAGTCAAATGTCAGTTTGGAATTAGATTTTCCCAATCTGTGCTGATATAAACAAAATCTTGTTTGTGGGACCCTTTACACAGGTAGAGCTTTTAATGCACATTTTTATGTTAGGGCACTTACAACCTTAAAATAGAATGTTAAAATGTATCTGAAATTTGAACACAACTAGTTTTGTCAGCCTGGAAGCCAAAGGCGTTTAGTTTGAAATCACACAAATCTATGATCATACATACTCTTCAGTCATATAACTGAATTAAGACATGTTCCGAGGATCATGATAATAATTATTAAAAATGTTTATTGTTTTCAGACAAACTGAAAAGCACCCTACCACATTGGCGAGAGTCTTCGGTTCTGTGATAAATAATTCTATCCCTTCAGAAAAATATGTGTTCTAAGTTTCTCCAGAAATTAAAAGCTGAGCATCTCACAAATAACTTACCCTGTCTGTGCTGCTGCCTGGGGCGGCGCGTAACTGTATGCTGTAACACAGAAACGTTTTTATAGTGAGCTGTTAAATAGAAGTGATTGCTGAAACAGTAAAGGGTTTCAACACAGCTAAAATGAACCAATCTAGGAATATGACTTAAATTTAGTCAGATCATTTGACAAGTAACTGAGGTCCCAAGAACAAAACAAAAAGCTATTGCACTATCCAATTAGCTGTGTAGAATAAAAAGCATGCACAGGGTTAGCAGTGAAATTTAATGTTTGTTCCACAATATAGTGTTCAGCTTATTTCTTTCGAGAATCTTGTGGTCACTGAAACAGTTACTGATCTTTTCACAAGACAAACTTGTGCTACTCTAATTGAGCAGCAACCTTGTTTTTTTTGGAAAGAGTTCCTTCCGTTCCCCCACTTCTTTCTTCCGCAAATAAAAGGTAACGCAACTTGTAATTATTTTTGAGGCTTGTAGTTATTTTTAGTTCTTAGTAATTTTTGTTAGGTTTTGTTAATAATTAAAGTATAGATTAATTTGGGAGTACTGCACTTTACCGGGTGCACTTTTTCAGATTAATTAGCGGTGCTGGATTTCCCTAACCCTAAGGATCGTAAAGGGTGCCTAACCCTAAGGATCGTAATGGGTGCCTAACCCTAAGGATAGTAAAGGGTGCCTAACCCTAAGGATAGTAAAGGGTGCATAACCCTAAACCCTAAGGATCGTAAAGAGTGCCATACCCTAACCCTAAGGATCGTAGAGGGAGCAGCGAGGGCTGTGCCCGGTAAAGTGCATTCTTGCCATTAATTTCAACATTATTTGGGATGGGGGAACTGAAGGACCACTTACCCACAAGTTTTCCTAATATACACACCACAGGCATTTAATTTGACAAATCCCTCTATGATTTCACAACTGTTGAACAAATGAAGAATTAAGTTGTTTCCAAAACAAACAAATTAAAAGACTGATACAATGTGGGGGAAATGTTAAGAAATTCCGTGTGCTAGAAGTAATATTGATGTGTATAGAATTTGCACGCAGGTACTCTCATGAAGTTATCCCATAATGTGTTAACTGATCGTTTTACATGCATAACAGTGCAAGAAACCAATATGTTCGAGAAAGCCAAAACGAAACTGGGCGATTATTTCTCGAAACGTCTGCAATTTGGTGATTTGTTCTTCGATATTAGCGAATACTTGTGTAGGTTATAGACTCCAGATCAGAGATTAGAACATGTTCTAAACATGACGGAGAAGCCATGGCAATTTGAATTCCTCTGATGATACTTTTTTCAGTATCCCTGCATTAGAGCCCAGCTAGAATGTTTCAATGCAAAGAATTTTGACTGAGGTCTTATATCGGATTAAATAGAGTGGTTGCATCTCATTTACTTGCTTACATAGACTGGCTTTTATATTTTGCTTTTGTTGTGCGAGACGGAAGCCATGTTGCCAATATGGCGACAGCATGGTTTGTTCAGAATAATGACGCACGCTCTGCTGTAGGAACACTCACACATTTTCCCGACCAGTTTTCGTTATTATCACACAGTGATAATACTTATTATGGACAAAATGCATAAAGAAATACTCACGTGCGTCTCCCATTGTTAGTTTCGTTTGTAATACTCAGCCACAAGTCTCATGTAAATGATAATGAGCGTGGCTGCAGAGCTGACCAAGGAAATGCTATTTCGTTAGTCACGTGACTCGACATATGACTCGGCTATTACCGACACAGATCGTACATTTCCGTACACAGATTTGACACCGCTTCGTTCATCGTCCAATAACATTATCCACCTGACCAAGGGGCAAGAACTAGCCCAGAAACGTTGTGTAAAATAAATCAAGAAGTTGTTATCCATAAGATTTGTCTTGTATTGTTCTAAATGAGTTTTACTTTATGCTCAACAAATAAACAGCATATCCGCTTTTAGTCTATTTGTGAAAGGGACTAGGCGCGAATGATTTAAACAATATGTATTATTTCTTGAAAGGAATAATACATGTATTTGTGAACAGGCAGAGAATGTTTTATATACCTTCTGCGACATTCCGTAAGAGGCGACTAACGGAATCGGGAGGTCAGGCTCGCTGACTTGGTTGACACATGTCATCGTATATACCAATTGCGTAGATCGATGCTCATGCTGTTGATCACTGGATTGTCTGGTCCAGACTTGATTATTTACAGACCATCGCCATGTAGCTGGGATGTTTTCAAAATGCCTTGCCTATGTCAGAGAGTACAGCCCTTACTTCATTTCTGTTGTCTGGGTGAGTGAGTGATTTTAGTTTTACGCCACACTCAGCAATATTCCAGCTATATGGCATCGGTTTGAAAATAATCGAATCGCGATCTTGTTCTAGTTGTCGTTTTACGTCACATAACTGCCTCGACCGCCTCCGTGGTGTAGTGGTTAGAGCGTCCGCCCGGAGAGCGGAAGGTCGCGGGTTCGATCCCCGACCGCGTCCTACCAAAAGACGTAAAAATATGGTACTTGTTGATCCCTGTCTGGCGCTCGGCATTAATGGGTACAACAAGGACTGGTCGGCTCGGAGTCAGTATAATGTGTCTGAGTGGGTTATTCATGCTTCACTGCGGCATAGTATCTCAGTGGGCTAGCACTGTACAACCAGCTTAAGTCTTGGCTAGTACAAGCAGCCGCACATACACATACACACGCATGCACGTCGTCATATGAGCGAAATATTCTCAAGCACGACGTTAAACCCAATTGCACCTTACCTCACATAACTGCCTCAACCGAAATCCGTCTACGGTTTCCAGTGTCTTCGCTACTTCTTTTACGACTGGGTACAGACCCATCCTGTGTTTGTGTATTATATATTATACGATAAGATTTAATTGTGTGATACTTAACTCTTGCCCAGTGTATTTGAGGCTTATAAGGCTTAGATTATCATACAGGAAAATATCTGAGAGGCTAATAGGCAACTCTACGGATACACGAACATCACCGATGCATAAGGGGGTAGTAAACCCTGAGGGTCCCAGTTGTACGACGATACGGCAACGTTGGCCACTGGCGAGGCTCCAGCGTATTGTCAACCCGGGTAAAAGTTGTTGTTTTGCCTCCCTAAAAGTGGCCCTGAGATAGACTTCTATGATGAATGTGGAGCCTGGTCTCATAGTCATAAGATCCAATTGGGAATCGTGTACGCCGAACCTTAAATCTGAATCCACGTTTGAAACTAACGTGTTAGCCGAGTGATCCGGTATTAGTCGAGCACTTATACTAGGATCCGGAATGAAAGCCCCGAGCAAGATACCGTTGTTCCTAATTTCGGGGATGAAACCATCTTTGCTTAAAGAGATGTAAGGTGAGGTGAGGGTCACGTTGATCAACCACTTAGGCTCCTTAGAGTCTGCCAGCGACACCCGCTCGTACAGGTCGCCTTTAAAATACAGGCCGTACAAGGTGCCGTCCCCGCCGGGCCGATCGAATCCCTCCGTGTCTCCTAGGTCGCTAAGAGTGACGTTGGGGCGATGACTGGTCATCGCTTATACAAAATGTTACAAAATAGTTTCCAATTGTCTTTCTGATAATAGTTCAGGGGTGCACTTTAACCCCATGAGGTGTATGTTGTCGGGTAGGAATATCTTGGTGAGTGATGTCGTGTCTTCCACGGTCACGGTGACCCCCTGTAGACTGGTGTGGGAGTCGACACCCACCCGCAAGTAAACAGTGCAAACATGATACTGGTGTTGTTTGACTCACCGGAGTTTAGTGTTGTTTGACCCACCGGAGTTTGATTCCTTTCACGACTTCGATTTCGCGCTGCGATGGTTCACCTAGGTAGACTTGGATGACCAACGCGGAATTCGCCGGTAGACTCTCCAGGATGTTGACCACGCCTTCGAATTCAGACACCACCTGCAAGCCCACGCTTTGCACCCCAGGTTTACTTGATAGCATGTGGGCTGCTATTCTGGAGAGTGGGCTGATGACTACAATACGCCTCTGCGTCGGGATGTAAGCTACGAGCAGGGTTCCATTGTTCACAACTTTGTGTAGGTAGTTGTCTTTGTTCTCCGTGAACACGTAGGGGGAGCCGAGCGTGATGTTGAGAAACCAGTCGACTTGTGAGGGCAACAACACCCACTTGGCATCGTCGGTGAAGACGAGGGCATACTGCTTGTTTCGAGCAGCGGTCGTGCTCTCGACATCTTCTAAGTCGAACAGTTTGCAGCCGAACGATGGGTATACCGACCATCTGTTATCACCGATGCGGACTAGGTCGAACCAAGTGTTGAGGGCCGCTCCTGAGGTATCGACTATATCACCTAGGGTACTACCGCTGGAGGGGACTTCGACGCCTTTGTAACACTGTTTTTAAGCTCCAAGACGTATAAATTACCCTCTACTCCGGGGTCGTCGAGCCCACGTGTGTCCCCTTGGTCGGAGATCCCTACATTGACGCATTTTTTCAACCTCATAGCCATCCCGGGTCCTTGTGCGCTAGTCATTATCGTATGTGCAGCGTTATGCTGAGGTACCCTATATTCACAGGATTATCTTTTATATCTAAAATACATACTTTCAACTTCGAGATGGTACCTTGCGTTAATTTCTTGTACTGCTGTAACGGAACAATTCGGTTCTGCCGCCGTTGTACTTCTTCGTTTTCACCGGTACGGCTCTCAGCAGCGTGGAAGTGCGGCCACCTTGAATGTTACCCGTAGTGCTCAGCTGGTCGAGATGAATGCACAGCTCGTGGTATGGCACTAGGTCGGGTAATCTTATGCTTGTGACGGTGTTTGTCGGGGGGATTTTGCTCGACGGCAACCCGACTGTTCTCGCCAACGGCCGGCTGAGTCTCAAGACGTTTCCTCCGTTGTTGGTTAACACGACCGTGCTGTTCGAGTCGTTAATTTTGAGTTTGACTCCCACGGGTTGCAAGACTTCATCGCTGAGCGAGCATACACAGTAGTACCCATCCGTTATTTGGTTACGTTTATCACTGACGAACAGCCTGTTGTTGATGTCGTCGATGTTGGACCATCGCGGTAGGTAGGTGATATCGCAGAGTGCGACTTCTAGTTGACCCGACGTGTTATCGATCGCGTGCAGCAGCTGAACGGCCTCACCGCTCGTTATTCCCGGGAGCGTCAGGTACATTTTGAGAGGTATATCATACATTATATAATATTTCAACATTTCGACATGGCTGGGTTGTATTTCGGAGCCATGTTCATCGATGTGTTTGAAAAGTATAGGCTTTCGGTGACGAGCGTCAAGGCAGTCCATGCTTGGTAAGAACTCTATGCAGTTCTGGCAGAAACCAACTCAACTTCGCCGTGTGGCGTGCTACAATGGGGTGACGTTGAGCGACACTTGGCGAGGCCCGCTGGGTCGGTCTGTGTTTATGTTCCATGTGTACTACCAGGTCAGGCGTGTCCTCAAAGAGATCAGCGCTCCGCTCCCACAGGACAAAGCATGGGACGCGGCAAACAACCCGTACGACCGACGGGCCTACAAACACGTTTGCAAAAGACCCGAAGACGGATTGGCGTTTGCCGGGGCCGAACCACGGGTTGGGTATTCCATATGATGGGGTGCGATCAGTGAAAGAAGTAAGTGATGATCTACTGAAACGAGATTTACTACGTCAGGACTTTGCTTTGTTGAGTAATGAATGGCGAGATGATCGTATGAACTTTAAAGGTGGTGTTGCTTTCACCGTCCAGAAAGTGGAGCAGCCCAAAGACTCCGTGGACGATTGGGAAATGTTCATGCTGGACACGTCGAAAGGGTTTACTTGCGCCGGCACTGAACGCTTGAACGACTCGATTCGAAAGTACGTGTGGGCGCTGGTTGTTGCACAGACACAAACACGTTCCAGCATCGTGGGCGCAGGGACTGCTTACGACGCGCAGGCACAGTTCGTGTCAAATGTTGAGGATGCTATTAATGCCCCAGTTGATTTGCCGAGTGCCATCCGACGCTACCAAGACATGTTGGAATACGCCCGGTCTATAGTCGACTACGTGTTCGGAGTGGGATTGTACATGGCTCCGAGCAACATGCAACTGAGAATCAACAAAGTGGTGGGCTACAACGACGAAATAGTCATAGCCACGGGTGACCAGAAGTCAGGTATCAACCCGGGCATCAACGTGAGTCACGTCCCACCTCCCACGACCCGTGAAACGGGCATAGTCATACTACCATCCCCAGAGCCCAGGTTTCGACCCGCATCCCCACAGCCTCTTCCACCACACAAGGTGGCTGAAAACAAGGAACACCTCGATAGTAAGACAGCTCTAGTGGTTGGGGGGATCGCGGTCGGCTTGGGTCTCATTTGGTTAAAAATTCCTTAGCGGCTACGTACACCAGCCCGGCCACGGCAACAATGGCTGCCCACAGGTTTTGGCTGAGCCATGTGACAGTTTTTGAGAGAGTGCTCAGCAGCCACAAGACGATGCAACCCAGGATGCCGGGCAGGGCTTCGGCAGCCTTACCCGCAAGTTTAGCCAGGGCCTCCCCGAGGGATTTCAGGTGTCTTCTCACCCAGTCTCTGGCGCCGCCACCACTTGGTGGGATTGGGGGTGTTGGTATGCCACTGCCTCCCGTCAGCGATACGACCAGGGTTGATATGATGAATCCCTTGCTCTCAGAACAAAACTCGAATCCTGTCAGCCAACGTGGTGTCCTGGTAGAGGACTCGATCGATGATTCCCGCATGCGGCT